CTGTGCTAAAACAGATGTCCACTAAAGAAGAAGTTTATTTATTTGCTTGTTTGTTCATTTGTTGTGTGAATAGATTACACTGTTCTCAAAGAGTACTCATTTGTCCCCAGTAGAATCAGTCCACTTGGCTGGGAGAAAGTTCTGCCATTCCTAATTCTGAGTTTTCTGAACAGGAGATGCCCAGCTGTAATTCATAATTATCACTCTGAAGTTTTGAAAACATACCAAAGTCTTTTGAGTAACAAAATAAGGTACGGTCATTTTTTAAAAAAATAGCAGCAGTTAAAGATATAAAGAGAGTAGGGAGTGAATACACCATAATTTAATCAAGATTTAATAATTGACTGCCTTTATAAAATATATATTTTAGCAACACCCAATAATATGATGATAGATGCAGGAGCCACAGAGAGGATTTCTGTAACTGAGGTTGTGCAGAAGGTCAAATGAGATGGCCATAATGATCCTTTCTGGTCTTAACCTATCAATCAAAGGGCATTAAATTTTACTCACTGAGCTGGACATGTGATTATGCAAAACAGAAGTACAAGGATTTTCCTGCTTGTAAAGGGAGAACCTGGAAAGAATAATAACCCTGGGATAAAAATATTATGCTGACCTTCTTTCAGAGCATCTACAAAGTTACAGTGGGTCCTTTTAAGGTTAGCACAAGTATCCTGGTTATTCCAGATGAGATGAATGCTTAGAATGGAGTAGATTATGAATATATAATTTATTCAATGACCTGAAATAACTTTTTCTTGGTATTTGGAAATCCTTCTGCATTTAGCTGCACAATGGACAATGAAAGATTACTGTAGAGTTGTTGGTTGAAGTATTTTAATGAAGTTCATCCTCATATTTTGTGGTGATATTAGTCTATGCTTTTTATAACAGTGTATTGCAAAAGGGACCTTCTGTGGTGCTTTTGTCTCATCAATACCCTCAAAAACCCTTTTCCTTTCACTGCACTGTAAAACAGCACCTGTTCTCCATTGGATGTCTGGGTCTAGAAATTTGGATTAAGTGACCCCCATGCTAAGGAGCAAGAAACTGAAAGAAAGCACATTCAGTTTGTCTGTTGGCTGGAGCTGCTTTTAAAAGCAGAGGGATGTGTGGGTGGAGGATGTGAGAAGGAGATTTTGTACTGGCATATACATGTGTAAACTGATATTCAGTGATTTGTAAAGAGCTGAGCTGTACAACACTTAAGAAATACACAATCTTTCCCCAAACCTCCAGTGTTTGAAAGCTGGTGGGCTCAGCTCCTGACGTTTGTTTCTGTCAGTAGGGCCACAAACTAAAGGTTTTTAGACTGTCTTTCAATCAGTGAAATTGATTAAATGGTCATGTGAACCACTGCTGATAACTTTGGTTTGGAAGGGAGTGGGCAGGAAATGGGAATCACCAATGTCTAAAGGAACATGCTAAATTGAATTATCATCAGATGGCCAAAGTCTTCAGTGTTTCTTCTGCTAGACTTGGAAAGGAGAGTGGTGTTTGCAGCAGGTGAAGCACCACTCCTGGAAGTCTCAAAAACATCTCAGTTTTATTTTTGTCTTGCTCTGCTTTCCTAGTTCAGTTTTCCGAGGTTTTGATGGTTTTGAGGTTTTTTTGATGGCACTGTACATCATAGAAGAGGGTTTCTATTACAAAATTTCTGTGTCAAGCTAGGTCTTTTCAGTGATTGACACTGTTCAAGGAAACTTGTATGAATGTGATTTTAAGGATTTAATGAGTTTTATGAATCTCTTTAATAAGTAAATTATGCATTCTGTTGGGACACAGGATTTCCTGCATCAGTGAAAGCTTCAGCTGCTCAGCAAGATTCACGGAGCAAAAGTTAGACATCTGTAATCCTGGTCTCTCACGTATTTTCTAGATCTAAGTCAAGAATGGAAAATTGAACCTTGACAATTCTTTCCAGGAGTGAGCATTGTGAGCTTGTGAGATGATCCCAACCCAGGCATAACGAGACTTCTCTTGTGGCTCTTTGGGTCTGATAGGATTTCTGTGGAGGTGGAAATAACAGCAGGTGTAGCTCAAACACCCTTGTTGGCTGACTTGGAGCTAGGGCAGGATTGGAGATGGGGGAGGCCTGAGCAAAAAAGGTAAGTGGAAGTGGTAACCTGCTAGGAGGCCCGAGAAAGAAAACTGTTGATTCACTGAGAAACTCCTTACTTGAGGGCAAAGCATATAAATATTTATTTGTATAAATACCAGGCATGGAGGAGAAGCTGAGAGGCAAATTCGAGGGAATTCTGATTAAATTCTAAAGAGTGTCACAGAAAGCACTCTGGCCTCATACTCTGAGGACCCACAACACCACAACATCTGTTTTGGGTGATTTTATTTTTTTTGAAGGTTGTCTCATCTTTTATTTTTCATTAGGGGTTTTCACCGTCAAAACTGTAGTTGGTGAAAGATTTTTGGAGTGCATTGTCGAAGTACACTGATTTCTGTCACTGCAAGCAATATTTTCCTTTCAAATCAGACTCTGAAACACTAGTCTCAGACTCTATTATTAATTTTTGATGTCATTAAGAGATGTCTTCTCTGTCTGGGATGCGCTGACATTTATTTTATAAGGCTCTGACATGATTAGAGCTTTCATTTGATTTTCTAGCCAATATGCTGGCACAGGGTTCCCAGGAGTTACGTTTAAAGTTAGCTTTCTAAGTTCATGTTTCAATCAACTAAAAATGAAGTAAATTTCTTAATATTTTAACATCCAATTGGGCAGCTTTCAGCTTCTCAAGTCTTCCTTTGGCCAGGCCACTTGCTTCAGTGCCCAGTAGGATTACTGACAGTGGTAGCTCTTGGCCTTCCTCCCGAGAAGAGCCCTTCAGCACTGTTCCACATAGAGCCAAGGAGAGCTGAATAGGCTAAAAAATAGGCAACTGCTGTCTGTGCAGTCCTTCCTCATCTGTTTAACCGCAGTCTGATCCTGTGTGTGCTAAGCCTGCAGCTTGCACCTTGGGGACACAGAGAGAGTCACTGGGAATGCAGCAGGCACAGGTCAAAGGAGTGAGAGTGGTAACAGTAAGGGATCTAAAGTTTGCAGCAGAATCTGCCTCTTCAAGAAAACTCCATGTATTACTCTATGAAGTCGTTCACAAAAATATCTTCAAACTTTTCAGTTCAGTCTGGTCTGACTTTTTAGGGGCCAAATTTGATGCCTGCATATTATTTGTGTGAGCTGGTTCTTCTACCTGCACTGGATAGCCTCTTGAAGTACATCTGATGTTTCCGCCAGGAGAAAGGAGTAAATGAGGGGAGTAACTAGGCTACATGAGGCCATAAAAATATCTTCTTACCCTTCAGACTGAAATACTACAGCTCTTTCTGAACTCTTGGCCTTTTGTCACACTGGGATGTTTACAAAGCATCAGAAGATTTTACTCTTTAGATCTTGAGTGCCTTAAAAGAGGTGTACTTTACACCAGATACAAAGGACATCAGAGTCAGCCCTTACATGTTTAGTCTGGATGTACAGAAGCAGACTGCTTCACTGCTCATGCCTTAGTGCATTAGCTAATCTTTAAAGATTAGGATTAAGGAGAAGCTTTGCCCAAGAACAGGTCAGCTCTGGCTGTCTAGCACAGGCTGCACAAACTCATTCAGATTCCTCAGAGGTGTGTAGTGCTGATCACTGTCCAAAGACAGGACATTGGATTAAATGGACCATAGCTGTGACCCAGGGCCACAGTTTTCAGGTGAATTTTGACTGCAAAATGATGCTACTTTCTTGGTTTGTGAGTTTTTTGGTGTTTGTTTGTTTGTTTGTTTGTTTTCTATTCCTTCCATGTGCATTATTTGTTGTTCCTTCTGTTGATGTATTGATACTGGTGTGTAGTAAGTTGAACAAGATGGAATTTTTTCATCCTCTTTTATAGTCAGTGCTCATATTTTCCCTGGCTCTGTCTAGGAGCCTCTTCAACAAAAAGAGGCAGAAGAAAATGATTGTCTCTGTGTCAGGAGGGCCAGAGAGAGGAACCCACTGGTAAATGGGAAAGGCTAATCAATCTTCATGAGTTCTTTTACCTCAGTTCAAGTTTGATTTAGACATTGCAATACTGTTCAGTACAAAGGGAAAACTACTACTACTTTCCTGCCATCAGCATTAGAAATAATACTATTTAACATGGGCAACCCCTGAACATGTTATTCTCTTTGTCATTTAAATTTCTAAAACATATTAAGGGAAAATTGTTTCTTGTATTAAATAGAATGAATGAAGCTGACAGTGCTATTAGAATCACAGAATGGTTTGGGTCAGAAAAGACTTTTGAGATCATCAAACCCAACTGTTAATACAGCGCTGCCAAATCCACCACTAAACTGCATTCCTAAACTCCACATATGGTTTTTATCTATCTTTTCTTACATTGATAGAGATATATATTACTTCCACTATAACATTTCAAGCATTGGCACCACCTGAGAGCTCTTTGCAACTGCAGCTTATGCATTTTGCAGTAAAATTTCTCTCCTCTTCTGTCTTCCCTCCTCTTCCTCCGCCCCCAGAGGACTGACAGGCTTTCTACTGACAAATGTTGAGTGTAGCTCCTGAGGATTTAGCATGTCAGGCTGTGTCTACACAGCTTAGGTTTCTATTATTATGCAATAGCTTAGAGGGCAGTGCTTTGCCACATAATTACAGAGCCAATCTCTGTTAGGACCGAGAGTTTGGATGCCTCTTTCTACACCAGCTATTTGCCTCCTGCCCACTTAGGGCTCCTCCCTGACACTCTTACTTGTTTATTAGCTTCTTTTTGTACCCTTGTTTCATCTGGTTTCTGGTTTTCTTCCCTTTCCTATGGCATTTCAGAGGTGAGGGGTCTGACTGAGTCGTGCCTGCACGGATTCCTATGCAGTACAAAGCACTTGCTGCATGTTGCATCGTCAGAAGAGGTAAGAAGAAATTCCTGAAGCTGCCTGCTAGTTCTCTCGGGTTTTCACTCTCTCTATTTTTTTTTTTATTATTTTTTCTTTTTTTTTTTTTTTTTCCTATCCCTGTGTGTGCACACTGCTTGCCTTACAAGCCGTGCAGGCTCTGCCATCTAGAGCACTTTGTGAGATCACTCCACTTTGCTGTTTTTCCTTCTTCCCTCTCTGCGTGGCTGTGTGTGTCTGTGTCTCCCTGCCTCTCTTCCCCCCTCAGTCCAGCTCAGCCCCCGAGCCCAGCACACACACACACACACACACACACACACACACACACACAGCAGCTGGGCTTGCTTCTATCAACTTGAAGACTTGCAGTGCTGAAATGCATGTCTTACCTTGGGATGCACTAGGATCAGAATGCTCAAAAAGCCTGCAGGCTGCTTAGTCCTCCAAGACTGGCTTTTTTTTTTTTTTTAATCACACAGGAAAATAACAAGTTATTCACTCTTTTTTATTCTCTTTCTTTTCCTGTTTTTTCCTTTCCTTTTTTCGTGCTTTGGATATAACTGGACAAGGAGTCTCAGGGATTGACACACTCGGACTTCACTGAATCAGGCTGCATCTGACAAACAATCTTGTCTACATTTTGGTTTGCTAGAGATCAACTGGGATTTTTCTGATTCTATCTTCTCTTGAAAAAAAGGATGCATGGAATAGAAAGAAGGTCTAAATACCTGTCTGAGACTATTTTACCAAACCTGGGATAAATGTTACTTCTCAAAGGTAAGTGCAAGGTTTTTTGCTGTGTATGTATAAACTGTGTAGTTATAACATAAACTATATATAGATATGTACCCAAAACGTTTTATAGACAGCTATCTCTGATGGCAAAAAATGTCTCAGTCATGCATCTTAAAGCATTGGAGAAATGTATAACTTTATCTTCCTTTTCATGTTAGCTTAGATAAGATTGTTCATGTAGATTAATGGATCTCAGTTTGGTTTCTGCATTTCATGGTATGAAAAGGCACTTCAAAAGCAATATTTTTTTAGAGTCAATAGGAATTTTTTAATGATAGTTTTCAAACAGTGATGGAAAAATGTTTAAAAGAAAGGATAATCATTTGGTTTCTAATAAAGCAAGAACTGAGGAATAGAGTGAAAGCAATTTCAGCTTTCTGAGGAATTAGTAAATCCTACAAAGCTAAGGAAGAACTTTGCTGGACAGATCAACTCAGCTGTGTATGAAACAGGAGAGTAAAAGTGAGGACATTGGCAAATGTCATTTGAAGAAACAGAAGGCGTAGGAGCAGCTAGAGAAGGGAAGGGAGTGAGGGGTGTGGAGGGGCAGTGGGCACCCACTTCAGTGTCTGCTGGCACAGAGGCTGTTCTGGGTAGGGTGATGCCACTGGTGCTGGATGTCCAGAAGTGGCAAGGTGGGCATGAGGGGGACGGGGTACACAAACAGGTATGTGCTCTGTCATGTCTGTCTGACGTCAGCAGACATATATGCTCTCAGCAAGATCAAATGTACTGAGAATTGGGGTGGGGGAAGCATCTAAGGGGCAGCACAGTACAAGATATAGCAAAATGGAAACTGAATCTCTCTCTGATTTGCATGGATGTGTGCACACGTTTAGGACACAAAGGAAGAGCATGACAAAATAAAATGCACTGGGGTAAAAGAAATTGGCAGTCAAGTCAACAAGTCCCAGTGTGGTTAGATTAGTCAGTGGAAATGTAAAATGGTCAGTTGTGGTAGTGTATGTAAGGAAGGGTTCTTAAACTGGGTAACTCCTATCTACACAGAAGAGATAAATAATATTGATTTAAAGCAAGAATAATTTTCTCTTTTCAGACTGCTTGTTCTAGTATTTTTGGTGCCGTGCCATGGAGATATTAAGATGAATAAGGTTTATTTTATCGATTCAGTCTTTGGGATTACTATGACAGTAAAACTCTTTTGATGAGAAGAGGGAGGGAAACAGTAAGCATCATATCAGTCTATAAAGTCACAGTTAATTAAATTGAAATCTCTTAACTTTATTATACAATGTTCAGCATGGGTAAGTCCAGCAGATGCAACACAATTGTCATGGGGATTTTCTGCTCCTCCAGAAAGAGGAAACATTGCCATGCAGGGGATCAATTTCCTATTGGACCTTGATGTGTACAGAGACTGTACTAAGGCAGATTTAGGCTTATGATGAGAAAGAAGAGAGACAAATAATTACTTCCACTCCTGCTGCGTTTCAGGCTGGTTGCAGTCCCCTTGTTTACAGCTTGCTCTGTGTCAGTGGTGAGTTTGCATTGCCCAGAGATCACCACTTGAGCACAACAGAGTGCTTCTCATGTGCGCTCTGCTCGGAGCTGCAGCAGCACAGGGAAGAGATCCAGACCTTCCCTGAAACTGCTTCTAATTCTCAGCGAGAGAGGGGTTGCAAAAAATAAACAATTCCAGGAGACATGCAGCAAAAAATTCATGCTAAGCTAAGCTATTTTAACCCATGAAACCCAGCAAAGATCTGCATCACCTCTTGGATCAGAGGCAGTGTCTGATCTGCTCTCCCTAGCACAGCTCTGGATTCTTTAGGGTGACTCTGAACCAGATGTGCCCCAGTGTCTGGCTGTGTAGGGCTCTGGCACACACACAGGCAAGCTGGCCCCTCTTGGTGCACCATAAAGGGTGAGAAATGTGACCCAGCCTCAGAGCCCCTGCTTGCTGCTGTCCTCTCTGCCCCATGCTGCGCTTCACAGCTTTGGTGCTTCTTGTTTAAATGTATAATTGGGCCATTACTGACCATTTTTACAAATGGCATGTGTAGCCTTGCCCCTTAGCCTCCACTTTGCCTGCTGCTCAGGTGGACCCGAGCTGACAGCCCCCAGCAATCCCAGTCAGAGTGTTTCTGCTCCCTCTTTTTGCTGAGGAATCTGACCACTGACTCAAGTTTGCAATGTAATGATTAGAGACCCATCTGATCTGCCCCCTCCCCCCCAGTTCTTTTTTTTTTTTTTTTTTTGTACTTGTGGGCAAAAAGTGAGACTGATTCAAAATTATCAAGGTTTAACTCATAGTAGGTGGGAATATTCTTCAAGTGACTTGACTCCCTGCTGAAAAACCTGTGGACTGAAAACCCTTGAGGCTGCATTTGCTACCCACCCTCACAGAGGTGAGGGAGGGGATGATGACAGTGCCTGTTCACTCTCAAATCCCTTTTTGCATTGCTAATGCATTTCTGCCTTGACCTACGAAGATCACCTGTGGGAGAAGAGGGATAATCTGTTCCAACTGTGTACTCAGTCTTTTTTTTTTTCTGGCCTGAGCACTCAGCCTTACTTTCTTCATGTTTGTTCAAGTGTGCTGTCATGGGTTTCTTTTTGTGGAGAGGCTAATTATCTTCTAGGTGCTGACCTAAAAGGCAGTAACACTCTTTTTAAAGGAAGACATCTGTGGCTCCTTCAAACCAGTCCAGATGGCTGGAATTTACTGCCCAACACCAAATAGGCCATTGCTTGTATTCTCTTTTCCTGTTTTTCTTTTACCATGTAGAATTTGACTAGTTTTAGCAACTAATTCTAGCAACTGAGGATCTCACCAAGGGGCTGGGATTTACTCTGTCAGTGTCCAGAGGCCACATGTGCTTGGAAAGGGTTATCAACTGAAACTTGTGGCAAAAGACGGGGTTTCATCTGAGTGCACCAGAATGAAAACAAACCCCACAAATCACAAATCACAGTGATGCAGTGCTGCAGTGAAGGGCCAGCTGTTACCCTCTGCCCAGTCCAGCTCCACCCAAAATGCACAGAGAGAGAGGATGTAGGTGATACTTCTGGTTCTAGGAACTCAAACTACCTCCTGCATGGCTAAACACAAACCTTGGCATGGAATCAACATACCTAAATATGCCATTAGAAGGCCCACAGTGATGTGACATGGAAAACTGGGAAAAGATTGTGTCATTTAGAAGTATTTCTGCATCCCTTGGATCAGTGATTGTCACCGTACTTCAGAATACTAATATGACATTTTTTCTGATTTTTCTCTTTTCCTGTCATTTTCTTTGTTTTACCCATGATATGGGTCTCTGATAATATCCTCATCTTTATGGAAAAACATTGGTGACAAATCCAGGATAGCAACTTCAGCATCTAAAATGAGCAGCAGCAGTAAAAGTCAGAAAATATGTTTTCAGTTAAAAAAAAAAGTGGTGATTTGAAAACATGGGAGAAAGAAAAAGATGTGCTGTCAGGGTCTGCCCCCATGCAGAATCACTATTGACCTACATAGAATGCAGAGCTGAGTGGGAGTTTTCCAATACAAATGTTTTTTGTTTTTGCAGGAAAAAATGTTTTTAACAGACAGAAACAAGATTGGGAAATGGTCAGTCTTAAGAATTTCCTGACTAAAAAACTTTAGGAACAAAATTTCCAGAACACCTTACTTTACATTATTTCTAGAAGACAATTTCTATTATTTATTTCCATTTCATGCATTTTGTATGAAAACTGAAAATAATTCATATGAAACTTGATCATAAAATCCCATTTTGCTAAAGGACAAGGAAATCTGTGAGTTGAACTGGAATTAAACATCTCTGGTTCATTAGAAGGCTCGAATATCTTTAGTTTGAGACAAGCAAACTGTAGACATTGTCATTTTTTTTTTTGACTCAAGGAACCAGAAAATTTCTGCCTGCCAAACCTTACCTGGAAATCAATTTTTTTCAGCAAATGGGATTATTCTAGGGATGTCTTGGCAAAAAATGCTGTGAGATATCAAGGCCTCTGAGAGCTTGCTCTTGGAATAATTTCTCCAGCTATGGAAAACTTATACACTGAGAGGATATGGCAGCTAAATAACAGCAGGTAGGAGGGGATAGCTGCAGCAATGGTGTAAGCAGCACAATGGAGCATTTAGGAGGCTTCTGCTAATCACACCTCAAGAAGGAACAGGTCTCTAATCCTCTGGCAGATCTGCTTCCACTGTGGGGTTATGGAAAGAGGTGAGATAAGGAGAGGGTCCTGGAATAGCAGTAAATCCAGGGTCCTGGACAATGGTTGGTCAGAAGGTGAGAGGTAGGGCTGGTGCATCCCAGTGCATAGCAAGGTAGATTCTGAGCAGAACAGAAGCTGGATTAAGGATAAAATCAACAGAGAGTACATGATGGCTGAAAGCATCTTGTCTATTTTAATAGAGCTAACGTTGCACTGAAAATCCCTGGAAAACACGTGTGTGGCACTGGTGCAGAAAATCACCAGTGTGACTCTTTTCCAGAAGAGGTAGGTGGGAGTGGTGCATAGATCTTTATGTGCAGGACTGAGATGAATTGCTGCAGTTGTCCAGTTAGGACAGTAGAGTTTGAGCTGACTTGGCTGGGAGAAGGAAAGACTATGGAAAACCTAAATCTGATCAAGTCACATGGATGGTGGTGGCCAGGCACAATTGAGGTTGGAGGAAATACATGCATTGATGGACAAGTAAGGGATTTTTCCTCCTCTGCCTTTAGAGGAGCAATTTGCTTTAACAGGCTGAGGAGCAAAGGGGCTCAAAGTGGCACCAGTTACCAAAAGCCCTTAGCCATTCCTTTGTCATGCCTAAGCTCCTCAGAAAAACTTCAGTCTACATGTTGGTCAGAATGAGTAATCCTCCTTTTGTTACAGCCCAAAGATAAAAACTAAGAACAGGAAAGGAAGAGAGGATGTCTTAAACAGGCCCCATCCTCTGCTGCAGTGGCAGGATGGATAGGCTGTGATTATCAGCAAGAGAGCAGCACCTGTTTGGG